GTTTTCGATTAACAACTTTTGGTTCTGTGATCGGTTTCGTGAAACCTTTTCGGTTTTCGAGGAAACCGGGAGGAATTTAGTTTGGTTTTTGTCTCAAATTCGACGCTGAACAGAGTTTTTGTAAAAATTTTACAAAGCTATAAATTTGTCTTGCAATTTTTAGTTAGGATTCGAAGTTTATTTCATAATTTTTCACGGAAATATCTGAAGTTTGTCAGCATTTTTAAGTGAAACTTTAGAAAATTGAGCATTTAGAAGAAAGAGTAACTTGCCTAAAACTGGAAAATTCTGAGATTTTGAAGCATTTTTAAAACAATTATTTATAAATGGCCCTTAAAATAAATATAAAAAAGAGTAACAAAAAAGTCATCAACATTTTCCGAGCAACGTAACTGAGTGACTGCGCCGGTGCGCTGGGTTTGCGCACCAAGCCATTTGCAAAGCATTGCGCCAACTCCTGAAAATTCACTGAATTAGCCAGGCCTATTCCAAGACGCGCATTGATACTTCTTAATTTTTTTATTCGAAAATGATACATTGTAGAAAGAAAACTGAAGAAATCGTTTTTGATTACAATTGAACAGGGAATAAAATGGTAAAATTCGTTTTTGGATAAATAAGTGGGGCATCATTCTTTTCTTCAAAAATATTGCACCCATTTCATTTAATAGGAACATGATCACTCAACTTCAATTGACGGTTTTGGAACAATTAATAAAATTTTATGATTTTAAATACAACTTTAACATTCTGTGTGCAACGATCTCTTCATGGCTCTTATCTATTAGAATCTCTTATTTCTGTGCTTTGATGGGTGGCAATTGAATTTAAAACTCATTTATTTTATTGTGAGATAATGTCTTGAGTGAAACTTGCCACCCTGTACAAGGACCCTCTTCATGGAGTTTCAGTTTAAAATTGCGATGATTTCAATATTTGCCATTGTTCATGAACTAAATTATCCTGTCTGAGTACTAACTTATAAGAATATATGTTAATATTAAATGGTTTGATCAGCAACCTTTTGAAGGTTTGGCTGTACTAATCATTAACTGGAGCCATTGTCTTAAGCTGCAGCCATAAACCATCAGGAGTTTTAAACGGGTGAACCCTTTCGAATCCGAAGGGTCATAGGTTTTGCAACCCTTACACCCCTGTAGTTGTAATTTTAGCCGAGACCGCCTTCGTCCCCCACCGCACCCACAGAACTCTGACGGACCCTTGCTAAATAATTACTGCTCGCCTGACCTCCAGAGCCCAGCGGATTATGTTACCTCCGCTATAGAGTAAATGAAGTTGTAATTTCATAGGCCAAAGTTGCTAACTAATAATCAACAAACTGAATCTGTTCAGAAATTAGGTGGCCGTCGTTTAGGTGCAGGAAGCGACGATAACACTGGCCGTTGCGTCCCGATCCAGAGCGAGTTTCCATTAAACGCTTTGTCATTCTCCATATTGATAAGTGCGACGATATAAGCCGTTTCCATTTACAAACACCCTGTTAACAATCCGGTATCGGGCTCATTTATCAGTGGGGCCCCCGCATTCACGCCAATGGCGATTCGACAAGCTCGCACCACGTTATCTAACACCTTCTCCCCTTTTCGGATGTACCCAGAGACGCCATAGTTTAATAAAACTACCAGTTTGTATTAATTAATAGATTTTATGGTCGCCTTATTTATTATTAATGGTCCAAGGGGTTTAAGTGAATCTGAAATATCAGATGCGGCGTTTTTGTTGTCCGCATCTGGTGTTTTGCCAAGGTTTCATCTCACCTCAGTTCCACTTATTTCTGAATATTCGGTGATCACTTAATTGATGTTAATTGAATTATATTGCTGGATTAATTACAGGAATAGATGTACATTATATATTATGTACAATAATGAGTTTAAATAATATGTTTTTGCTGCACCTAGACATAAATATCTGTATGTGCAGCTAATATCATCATATAAGTAGGTACTTAATTCTAAAGCTGAAGTATGGGTAACCCAAATCAGCAACATCCGCATCAAAGAGTCAAGATGCTTATTGACGTTGCATTCGGTGAACCACGTTCAATTGTTTAAGGGAATTATCGTACAGGCCACCCCAGACAATAATTCAATATCTCATCAAGGAGTCCACCAACGCTCTGTAAACCACTAGCAGAATTTTTCTGCTTAAAATATGTCTTAAAGTGTAAAATCTAGGAATAAGTCTTCGTATGTTGTTTGCAAGTCGTGTTGCATGTTTGTCCCACTTGAGATGTCTATCAATTGTGATACCCAAATACTTGGTGGACTCCACCTCCCCAATACATCCATCCCCCAGTCGGAAAGTTGGAAAGGGTGGTCGATTTACAGAGGTAAGTGAAGAAACTTTATCAATGTTTAGTGTCAGCATGAAAGTTTGTAGCCAACATATAATCTTTTTAAGTCTCTCTTCTGCTAGTGTGCTGACATTCAACCACGACGATCCATTAAAGAGGATAGCTGTATCATCAGCATAAGATATAATGGTACCGTTTTTTATTTTAAGTTCTGTTAGAGAGTTTATATAGGTGATAAATAGTAAAGGGCCAAAAACTGTACCCTGTGGGATGCCAATCTGTATTTTAATTTGATCACTCTGAGTTTTGCCAATCTTAACCATTTGCTTTCTGTGACTCGGTGACTGTTGCTCTGGTAGCTCGAAAATATACTCAATGCAACCCCACGCACCCCATAGCAATTTACAACATCCAAAAGTGTTGAATGAGGTACAGTATCGAATGCTTTAGCAAGGTATAAGAAAACAGCCAAACAGTTGGTTCTGCTATCCAGACAATTTGTGACCTCGTAAATTCTAATATAGCGTCAGTTGTACACTGGTTCTCGCCAAAGCCGAATTGATTATCAGACAGTAATTTATTTGAGTTGAGAAAGTTCTGTAGTCTATGTTTAAGGCATTTTTCAAAAAATTTTCAGAAATTATTAATTACGCTGATGGGCGGTTGTTATTAATAAGATGCGCATCACCAGATTTATAAACTGGAGTAATTATGGCTGTTTTAAAATAAGAAGGCACTGAGTCTGTTTTCAAAGATGAGTTTATAATGTTTTTTAGTGGTTTAATAAGGAATCAATGAAATTTCTTCACTAACATCGAGTTGATTTGATCAGGGCCTGCAGCACAATTGGTCTCGAGGGAGCTGATGTGGTGCATAATTTCATTATCGCCTTCCGGAGTCAAAAACATATATGACGTGGCACTGTATTTGAGTTTGAATCTATTTATTGGTTTATTTATTTTATTAAGCATTTTAATACCTATGTTACCCAAAATATTCGTTACAATAATTGGTTTGATTTTTACTATTAGAAAAAGGTTCAAGATTAACATTTTTTATTTGTAGGTCATTTTTTATTTTGGGTTTATTTTGATCAGTGGCCTCAGAAATTATTTTATAAACTTTGTTTGTTCTTAGAATCAACACTTATTTTGATTTTGAAGGAGTCATGTTTAGTTTTTTTATTAATTTACTTAGTGAATTCCGATAACTTTTATATAGTGTTCCATTATGTGCATCATGCTTCAGTAAAAGTTTCTTTTTCATAGAGTCTCTTGTTTTTATCGAATTTATTATACCGTTCGTTATCCATGGTTTAAGCTTTCTTTTTTCTTTATAAGTGATTTTTTTTAGCAGATTTTTTTATGTTTGTTAAAATATCAGAAAATTTAGAAGCAGCAATATTACCTGTCTGGTTTTGTTTCCCTCAATTTATTTTCAGCCAACTTTAAGTAGCTGGGTTTTAGCTTGACCAAGTTATGAGCGAAACAATAAACTGCACCGGGTGTTACAAGATTTTCCACACAAATTTATTACATTTATTAAGAACATTTCAAACAACAATCAAATTTCTCACGTAAATGTACGTAATGACTTTACTGTTGGAGTTTTTCTTCAAAAATTATTCTGATTTAAAACATTACTTGAGCAATTGTTTTCAGTTTGTCGTGTTCTGCAAACTGTTTCTTCTTCTTCTTCTTCCAGCACCATTCAAATCCACTTTAAGTGAGGACACATCAATTTAGAATCCAAAGCTTTGAACAAGTGAAACGTAAATAAAACAGGGATAGGAACAATGTTCTGGAGATTTTTAATCCTCTTCTAGGCATTTATTCAAACAAAGCATATTATTTGCAGAATTAAATAAGTTTACATTAAATAATTCTCAATTTATCAAAAGAGATAGACTTTCGAGTCTATTCCTGGAAACTAGTGGGGTTTTTCGGGTTTTGAGGCGGCTTGACGCTCACACTGTTGTAATTCTCAATTAGTCCACTTGAAATATCTTCGATTATAAAGTCAGTTCTATTTTTTAGAGAAGTTTGCTAGTTATTCGTGATCTACAGAGTTACAGCGTTTTAGCTTGAAAATACTGCAAACACCTTTTAAAACATTTTGTGGTTCTGTCCCTTAAAAGTTTTGTCCTCGAAGATGCATTTTCAACTTTTCAATCAAGGAATATTTCGTAAGTTCAACGGTGATTTACTTAAATCGGGTTCTAAATATTTTTTGATAAATTACAAAGCAACAATGCATTCAGCCGGATATTTATTGACAAATCAGTTAGGCTTAGAGCGTTTTTGAGGTTATTTTTCGCAATAAGCTCTTCAAAACTTAAAATCCATCGTGGGTATTATGGCTTATTAGTGACCGGGATAGTAACTGGTAAAATCCCTATTTAAGTTCTTGGGTTTACCACTCAATGGTTGTGACACTAAAGTAAAACACTATTTTTCTTGGGCTAACATTTCGGATATACTTGAGGGCTTTAAAAGAAAAAAAAATTTGCAAATTGCGAAAGTCATATTAAAGGCAGTGCTAAAGCAACGAAAAAATCGTCTAGAACTTAATCGAAACCAGCCACAAAATTACACATAAAGTGGTAGTTTAAAGGTCTATTTTTAAACGTTCTATCAACTTTTTTAAACATTCTTGTTCATCGATTACTCAATTTCTATTGCAGACATTTTCTCATATGGAATGTTCTCCATTGTAAGCAGGATTATTGAAAAACCACTAAATGCCTGCTCTCTTGTTTTCTGTTCGAACCCTTCATTGTTATGCACTTCGCCGCAGTTCCATTGAACAACCCTGTATGCGAAATTCAACCTAAAGTTGCTTAACATTAATCTCAGACAGAGACCGCTAGCAAGAAGTTTTTGCAAGAGCTCGGTGCGGTTTCGCTTCGAATGTGGTCAGCGGCGGTAAAAGGGACGACTGTGAGGGGTTCAGTTCGAGGGGTTTGAGGGCGGCTCACACGAACTTAGTCCAGTTGAAGTCACCAGAAAATCTGAACCGCTTTGAGCTGTGAGGCAAGTCTCGATTAGCTCAATCTAACAGAGCTATTTGACTGTGTAGGTGATTTGTGCCAAGATTTCCTTGATGCCAACCAGCGCTCTGAGTATTAGTACTGAAATTAGTACATTGTTCTTGGACTAAAGCAAGCGGAGAATCAGGAACTAATGAGATGCCATGGCCGCTGGAGAGGTTTCGGGTCCGTCGCTAACTAAGTGTCTGAGTGGCGGCCATGCTCCAACTTTCTCCGATTCGGGGCCCATTTGGGGCCTTGTTGAAATTTAAGATGCGTTTAGTAAATTTATCGGAAAAACCAATAGTGAACGTGCACCAACATGAGTCTAAACTGGGCTTTTAAGCACGCTACAAAAGAAAGCTCCTGCACAAGAAAGTCGCATGTGTTTTTTCTTGCACGATGTCAATCAAAAATTAACATTTCTTAAGCAAAACAAATCGGTTTCAAATAATGTATAAGGTATAAAACATATAAATAAAATAATAAGAAAAAACCGAATGCAATTGTCTCCACTTCAAATAAGAAAGTTTATGACTTCTTTCAATAAGACCCATTGACTACACCACTGAATCAACAAACTTTCCACTTGTTCTTGGAGTATTCATTAATACGGTTTCTAGAGAGGCAACCGGGCCAGTGCTTAAATTCGCCCAGGAAGTAAAGACTTGCAACCGTTCCTTAGCCTCAGCTTATCTCAGAATCACTCATTCACTGACTTGAAATTCACATGTTCGCCTTCCTGGTGACCATCGGCGTTGAGTTCGCCAAATCAAACTCGTTCATTATCAGCGTTTCGTCGTAGTCATCTTCATCATCAAGGCTTTTTGTTGGGTTTAATTTGGGTCTTTGAAAGCTTTTGTACAGAACGCTGTTGCTTCTGCGCACGTAACGCTTATCCCGTCTTTGGAATAAATTGGGAACGCTTTGCGTTATCCTAATTGTGGATGAGGGACTAGATGCTGGCGTCTTTTGCTCTATTGGCCCTTTTTTCTGAACACATATACCGATTATGCACGATAAAACCATACCTGGACACGTTAGAGAATTAGTGTCTTAGATGTTACAAGTGTTGATTACTCACCGCAAAGTAATCCATAGAAAAAGACGATGGATACAGTCGCCCAAGGGGAGAGCTGAATAATTTCCATTAGCAATCCAGGCGGTTCCAATTCAAGTGGGTTGATTGAAGCATTTCTGCATTCCTCCATTCTTTTGCTGACTTCGTCATCAGCATTGTCTTCAACCATCCACGAATTCCCACTGGTGCCCAAAGGAGTAGTTGGTGTGACATCGGCCATCCTCATTTTTTCAAAACGATGCTCTATTTGATTGGTGGCCATGGCTTGGGAGTTGTTAACGCACGAATCCGAGCACGAAATTTTTTGGCTTTTCACATAGGCAACTAAGGCCTTTTCACTTTCACTTCGGCAGTCAAAGTTGTTGTCTTGAACCTGCAAGGTTTTAAGCTTGGAAAGGATCTTGAGTACGTCTACACCCAGCGACTGTAGAAAGTTCCCAGATACATCTAAAGTTTCCAGGTTGGGCGTTAGGCGAAAAGTGTTGGGAGTCAGGCGCGTTATGCTGCAACTGCTGATATCCAAGACCTAAAAGAAATTGCAGATTTGTTTAAACAATTAGCCTGTTTCTAGTTCAAAACTAAGCAAACCACCGACCCTCAAACGGGGAATGTCAATTCGCGCTTCTTCATTTATCGATCGCAGCTTGTTGCCTCTCAGGTAAAGCTCCTCCAAAGACTGCAAGCTCCCAAACCAGCTTCTGGTGAAATATTCAAGAGCATTGTAAGAGAGGTCAAGTGTTTTGAGCGTTTCTAGTCCTTTGAACCCGTTGAAATGAATCTGCTTCACCATGTTGTGAGAAAGGTTCAGCAGCTTTAAGTTAGTCAGTCCTAATTCCTGCGGAATTTCCCAGATTTTAGTAAGTTGAAGATTTGAATTGCAACATTTTTTATTGAACATGCTGATGATTTATTTATGATATAATGCTGAGCAAGCACCCACTGACTAATACTCAATAATATCGGAAAAATCATTATCGATGATAAACCCCGAGTGACTTACCAAGAATATTTTATCGCCCAGATTGCTGATCTGGTTATGGCTGATGTCCAGAATCTCCGCATGGGCAGGAATGTTCAGCTCGATGGACACTAGTTTGCGGCTTTGGCAAGTGGCCCGCTTCAACCCCTGGAATACATCACAGGCGCAAAACTCTGGACACTTAATCTCGATGGTTCCGGCAAGTGCCGGCGCCCAAACCAGGAGAAAACACACGAAAACTTTGCCGATTTTCATGGTTCAGCTGGGAAGGTATAGCAGAATGCGGGTGGGAGCTTTCACCAGCATTTTCCACACTTTGTTTGAGACTGTCGCCGATAATAGTATTAATCAGCATACTTCATAGATGTTTGCTGGGCTAAGATAAGATGAGATAAGGAACGCGATAGGCTGATTAAGCTACACATTATACTGGAAATTTTCACTTCAACTGGCACTCATGTTAAGCGTTCGGCATCGTTCCAATACTTGGAAAATCACAGAACATATATGAATTTATTGCTAGAGCAAATAGAAGAAAGGAGAACGTTTCTAGTTAATTGAACATCGAAATCATATGATTACTGGGGAATTTAGTGGCTCCCCGGAAAAGTTCGTGGGGACAAACCCTATTTAAAAAATATCACACTGTTCACTACTGCTTCTTGGTCACTCAGAAGCGTTTCTTACGTTCCACACTTAAGGCAAATATCTCAAAAGCTGCAAAAGGTAGAATTCGTTTTATTAGTTTCGATCCTTTCTACCCCTTGTTTATACAGGGTGTCCCGTAAGCACAGCGCAAATAAATCAAAAGGCCACTGCAACATGTTGGGTCAGATTGTCTTCTTTTGAGCCACACAATGTCGCAGTGTCCCTTTGATCTGTATGCACGTTTGTAGGAACATTTGCTAGTTCCACTAGGTCGTTCAGTTTTTAGGTAAAAAATTATTTTTTATAGTAATTTGTTTAATTCCATATATTTTTGAATGTGATATCTTCAGTTTCAATGGTAAAGAGTTCTTGGTGAAGTAGCTTAGTTAGTGGAAAAACGGAATAGGCCGATTTGATCAAATAAATAAGTAAGTGTATTTCCAACTTAGTGAAACGATTTACGCTTAAAATACACGTTTCATAATAATGTAGTGTCCCCAAAGAGGGGAGGGGACATAAGTGGACAGAAGTCACGCATTTTTTTCTATAGGCTCTGGATCTTTGGCCAGATTATATATTGGTAGCACCTGTGGATCCTGAAAGAGTAGATCAGAACTGACATTAAAAGTTGTTCTCAATCTTTCCTCTGAATGGATTCCGCTTATTAGGCGCCATATGCACGACGTCCGTCCGATTGCAGAAGAACAGTTTACCAGTCCAGCTGCACAGGAGTTCCTGGGCAAAGGGACTTTACTACCTGCAATTTGAATACCCCGACCCTTTCCAGGTAGCAAATCCTTTATTCTGAACTGCCCACAACTTTTCGCATGTGCCAGCCTTCTTCCAGCTGTTTGTCGTGGCAGTTTCCATACATCTCCTGCTCTCCAAGCCGCCAGAAAATCCGGATTTTTCCAAAGTTTACACAACTCGCGAGCCATTTATGATTAATATCGGTAATGTGTTGACAGTTGACGAATATTAGGGTTTTTTGTGGCTTGCTCACTCCCTTGTACGTCTGCGACCTTCGCCCTTTGCACCCAGGTGATAGTTCGGACCACCCCGTGCTGAGCCGGTTCGACCGGTATCCGAGGTGAAGACAATTTGCCAACACTGGTCAACTTCGGATCGTTTCAGTTTATTAAAAGGTGCTTCCATTGGAAACTTGTTTACAAAACGGTCTATTAGTACGTAACAGCACCAATAACGATTTGCTTTACGCGAAGGTCCACTGTGTAAACTGGAATGTTTTAACTTGATTGTTTTGCTGCATGGTGATACAGAAGCGGATTTGGTAAGTCGTTATAAGAACAAATGCCGGAGGTATTTAGGATAATTAATAGCACGTCCAAAGCTTTTTAGATGAATACTAGACCACTTTCCGCCCATTCCTTCAACAAATTTGGTCCCTCTTTAGAAAAAACAACTTGTGTCTTAAACAGCATCCGACCGAGACCTGTAAGCATCTTATACCACACTAAATCCTTCGGTTCAACAACGACACATTTTCTACAATCTACATAATTTCTCGCATAATTCTGTTCCATTTAGTGAAAACTTGGAGTTGGCGGTATTTTTTGCGCTCGACGCTTTAGTTGTAGATGATTTTTTGGGGCACAAACAAAATATTTTTAGAAAAGGGGACATAAGGTAATAGAATCTATTCAAATACACTTTAAAGAAGCTTGCATCTGACCTGTGGTGTAAGTGATGTTTGTTTATTATAAAATTTAAAATCTTTAGTAAAAGTTTCCCCTTTCACATTAAGGGCATTTGTATGGTGTGAGCCAAAACAAAATTCGCTAAAAAGAGAGACCCAAAAAATATGTTTTAACTTTCATGGTTTACTTTCCATTTTTTCCGCTTCCGCGTTTTTGTTTCCGCATTTTTGCTTATATTCAAAAGTCAAGTCATAATCAAACTTACTATTTTGTTTACTTTAATTCATAAGTTTCTTTTGCTGGCAATTCATTTTCTTCAAGCTTCATTCACGGTTTAGAAATTTTCTAAAGTTGGTGGTTATTAAACACATTTGAAGACTAAAGTCTTTATTACTTTTTGAGCACATAAAATCAACGTTTTAAAAAAATTTGCATTTTAATACTAATTCACCAGAAAAATAAAGAAAAATGTGTTCTATAATTTGCGCCAAACTTTTGCAATGTGTTCTGTAGTTACAGAGTTGAGAATTTTTTAATACGTGAGTACCTTGAGATAAACACATTGTTTTACAGTTACATGGCAATAAATAATTTTGAGCACAACGTAATAAAATAATTCATAAATAGAAGTTTAGAACCCAGAATAAAGTAGGGCGTTGAAGCAACGAAGAAACTGTTTAATGAAAATACTGTTTAGCGAACATTCAGTGACTAAATCTTTGGAAACAGGAAAAGTGCTTTGACAGACGCCGAGCTTTAAGAATACGTTTATTTTATTCCCCATCTGGATTGACTTTAGAATTTAAAGTCCAATTTTCAGCTGTTGGGTTTTGCTGTCCGCTTAAGACAGGCAACGACTTTATGCGTTTTTCATTTAAAACTATCTCGAAATTTAGCCTGCAATTTCTGCATGTGTAGGAAATGTAGGAATTATAATTCGGGCAGACTACGAAAGTAAAAACATAATTAAAGAACAATATAAAATGCCTCTCTTTAACGTGAAAAAATCGTCGACTTAGAAAATGTCAGATATACAACAAGCCTTTTATACTTAGCTACCATTGATATTAAGTTTTTTGTGTATGCTGAAGCTGAATTTCGAATATTTGAGCCAACTGTCCTAAAAAGTGTCTAGATAAGACGAAGTTTAATATTAGGTAAAATTTTATGCTGTACCAAGACAACATTGTATCCAAAATTAGACTATTTTTAAAGACTAAAATAGGAAAAAAAATGTATGCAGAAAAAATTGTTTCAAATATTCATCATTGTACAGGGTGAGTTTAAATTGACGTTACTGTCCTTAAGGGGTTGTTGGGGATTACCTGAAGGGTTTAGAAAAACGTTTTAAAGGATGTTGAGTGGTTAAGTGGATTTATCGAAAACATTAGTTTTTAAAGAAGCAATTTCAACTTGATAGTGTATGTTTTAATGAATTGCTTAATTTGCTTAAACTTACAGACATTTTCTTTTCGAAAATCTACATTTGTATACATTTTTTGATAAAAAATTACCAGCAACTATGGATTGAAACAGATATTTGTCGACAAGCATCAGTAAGCGGTACATATCTGGTTAGTTTTTCAATTGAACTCTTCAAAACTTGAAATGCTTGAAAACGCATTGGACTATAAGTCTTGATGTCAATTATTTTCGAGTCTAATTGAAAACAAAATTTCGAAGCTAAAAATGTTCTCTAATTTTTGAGAACTACGAAGTGAAGTTATTTGGCTTTTGGTTCCAACAGTTTTTGTGCAATTTTTCGTTTCAAATATACTTTTTTATACTCCGTACATCCCTGAAACAGATTAATGTTCCCATTTAGGCATACAATCGACAAAATATATTGGCGTTAATTTTGCGAAAATCATGGGCTTTGGTTTTTTCTATGCACGACACTGGAATTTAAAATACTTTGAAATTTAAGCGACCAACGGCTTTATAATTTCGGAGCTTAGAAGTAGATGGATTTTGTCACTGTTCCTCTAGCAGCAGTTTACAACTCGATTGATTTTAATTTTTCCGCTTAGCTCTCTTGACTTCTGTATTCTGCAAATTATAGATCTATTAATTATTTTACCCCAAAGAGCTTAATTACTTGAATGCGGCTAAGATCTGGAACCATTCGGTCCAAATTTCATTATGTTTCCTCTGTTGTTAAGAAACGATTTCAAAGTTAAGTCCTGAAGCAAAAAGTAGCGAATCGACAAGTACCGAACTTCTAATAAGTCGTTTCTCAAAAATTACTAATATTCGAAGAAATACTAGTTAAATAGTAGCAATTGGCAAATTTCAACTTCTTTTTAGTATGCACAGAAAAAACGAAATCGACGATTTGTTGGTACAAGTTGAAACAATGACTGACACCCACTAGAAAAAGTCTTGGTTTTACGCCAGTCGGCTGCAGTCTTACATTAATTTCGCTTGCTAATTGTTGTTGTGCTGGCTGTTCACTTCTTACCTAATTAAAATTTCGACAACCGCACCATGTACGTGACGTCGTGCAAGCATTAACGAGGAAATAATTAATGCCGAAACGGGATTCGTAAAACAATTTTACAAAACATCGGGAATTTCTCGTCGATGTCCCCCTTGCGCCCGTCCCCCTGGCTCGACCAAGTTTGCGCATTGAAAAGTTTCGTATGTAAAGCAATTCCCATTTTAGCGGAGAGCCATACATCTCTCTCAACAACTGCTTCTATACACTCAACTTAAACAATGTCCCCGAAAGTGCAGAGAGAGTTGCTTTGGTCTGCGTTTGTCATGTACGCCGGACTGGGGAGCTTATGGGGGGTCAAACTCCCCCCCGTTGGTGCAACTCGCAACCAAGCTGAAGTTTGCATAGTCTGGGAGAACCATTGCACAGGAAAATTAAATTGCTCTCTATTTTTTTAATGAAAAGTTCCGCAATACATGAGTTTTTCCTAAATTTGTAGCAAATGTAGGTGTAAATATTTTGCAACAAAGCAACGATTTGGATTAGTATATTAGTAAAGTTTATAGTATTTTACAAGCATGTGGGCGCTACCGCCCGTTTTTGGTTAGTTTTCCAAAT